TGAATATCAAGATCTTGAAATGAGACTATTGTAGCAGTTTTCTGAAGTTTTGCACTAAGTGTGAGTTTTAAGCCCTATCCTTTTAATGCAAATATGTAAAACAAAACTCAAAAATCTTAAAAACTGACAGGCTTATGTCTTATGAACATCAGAAGGATGTTTAATGGTAAATTTATAACACTTTTTGAACTTTGAATTCAAGGGCCAATAAGTGGCTTTATCATACCGTCATCTTTGTCTTTTATATTAAAATGATTTTTTTTTTTTTCATTTCAGATGTGGATTTTAGTTATGACAAGAAAGATTTTCTATTCAAAAAATTAAATTTTGGTATTGATATGAAGTCAAGAGGTGAGAGCCATTTAATATTGTTTGCACTCAACTTTTTATATCAACTTACATTTGTACATTATTATTTCCTGTTCTATTATTAGCTTACAAAAGATATTTTATGATTTTGACATGATTAATGAGTCATATTTTTGACCTATAGAATTATCTATTTACCTTGCATATTCAAAAATTGAATGCTTCTTCAATATTGTACCATTGATAGTCACATATAAGTTGGAAATTTGGGAGTAAATAAATGGATCCGTGTAATGATACCAACTTATAGGTGACATCTAGGTCTAAAGTTTAAAAGTTGAAGAAAAAGACTCATGTTAGTCATTCAAGATGTGAAAATATAACCCAAATGAAATCAAAAGACAAAATAACTGTAGACTGGATGTTATAACTGTTCATATAAAAATACGAAGATGTGTTATGATTGCCAATGAGACAACTTTCCAACAGAGACCAAATGACATAGAGGTTAACAACTATAGGTTACCGTACGGCCTTCAACAATGAGCAAAACCAATACCGCATTTTAAGCTACAAAAGGCCCCAAAATGACAATTGTAAAACAATTCAAAAGAGAAAACTAATGGCCTGATTTATGTACTAAACAAACGAAAACAAATATGATATTCAGCAACAGTGGTGAAACAGTTCAACTTAAGAACAAACTACAAAAATCAATTGAAAATGGCTTAACTCATCAGATTGATACAAAGCACATTAAAAACCCTAAAAAAACCCACAAAAGACACAAAGTGCAGATCTGAGAGTCCTCGCAGTTACTGAAAGCTTGTTCAAAGCCAATATCAACTAATAAAAATCATGTACATACCACTAATGAACAATTAAAAGCATCCAAGCAAATACATAAAAGACCTAACATTGAATCAAATACTTTCCACAGGGCTATAAATATATCATGGGGTAGCATTATAACATATTTGAATAAAACTTCTGTGATATAATTTATTCATGTAATGTTTGTGAATCATTTATTTAACTAGATATATATTTTTTTAAGTTGCCATAGTTGGGCCTAATGGTGTTGGTAAAAGTACATTCCTGAAATTGTTAACGGGAGATATTGAACCAGTAAGTGCTATGTCTCAGTGAGACAAACAACCTTCTTTATGCCTCGCTTAAAATAGTAGATAGTATATTTTTTTAGCATAAATATCATGCACTAGTTCTGGTATGCTTGGATCAAATTACTACAATCTTAATACTGTTGTTCATATTGGTGATTGAAGATTCGCTTTTGATTTTGAAAATTTTCTGGTTTGTCATTCCAGAGTTTTGGGACTTTTAACAGTCATATTTGAGGAAATATTTATACACTCAAAGGTATCCTCATGCATAATTTTCTACAGAGTCATTTTATTTGCTTCTAATTAAATTCCTTCTAAATATCCCATTTTATTCTTTCAACAATTTCAATATGTCCAATAAGGGCAATTCATGCACTCTTGGGGCAGCTGCTTGTTATTAGTATTTATGATATGGTTTTTAATGAAATCATATTTGACCTAATCATTAGTGCTAGATGTTAGGAAGAGAAAAAGAGAAATAGAAGTAATCAGGTTTCATGTTCATATATAGCTAAACTTAAGATTTAGCTTATAGTTGAGCAGTTAAATTGCTTGTTTATTTTTATAGACAGTTAAATTTATTGTTCATTTGTTTATTTTATAGACAACAGGAGAAATGAGGAAAAATCACAGACTGGTAAGTAATGTTACATATATTATATACACATGAATATTCTGTTGTGAAGATTAATAACACACTTTAAAAGCACTGAGTAAGGCCAAGTGATAAATTGATTTTTGTGTTGCATGCTGGGAAGAATAAGGCTGTCTTGTCACAAAATAATGGTTTATACAGTAGATCTTTGATAGCTCAAATGCAAGAGTCTGACATTATTGAATATATGTAATTTAACAGTTTATAAATATTGATGCATGTGAGTAGCTGCGAATAGAAAATCAAGTCAGATTAATTTTCTGTAAACCCTAATCATGACATAATTACAGTATACATATTGTTCATAATTACACACCTATCGTAAACCAATATTGCTTGTCATTTACAGTCACATTTTATTCACAAAATTATTGTTTGACATCTTCACCAATAGAAATACTGTGAAGTCATAAATTTTGTAGTGTTTAAGTTATTGTGAAAATTGCCTCAAGATTTGTTTTGCAAAATTAAAACTCAGATTTAAAATTAAATTTTTAAAGTGATAAAAATGTCTGCAGCCTTTCCTGAAATAGCAATTATTAATGTCGTACTTTTGTCAGTTATTTAACCATGGCAATAATAAATGCATGCAAAAATTGCTGAATTTACAGTAACTTAAACTGTAATCAATTCAAGTTGCTGAAAGTAATGCATGTTGTTTTCCTGAAAAAAATAGTTCGATTTTTTGGAGGAGTTAGTTAATTAGTGTTCATTGCACAGACATTTATTTAGCAAGAACAGTCATGATACTCACCGAACAGTTCAAGTATGTATAGTGTTTGAGCTACCCAAAATAGAGCTAATAAAGCTTTCGTAATGAATTAAAAGGGGGAGATCATCATTTTAATAGTGCTTATTGTTGAATATAATACAAACAAACTTAAATTTTATTGTTGAAAGTAGAAGTTATTCAAGTAAAAAATGTATGGTAGGGACTTCCATCACATGATATTTTTTTCAGTGGGTAATAGGAAATTTTTTTATATATACGGGAGTTTGGGGTATTGTCCTCCCTCCCTCTTTAACATTTATTCATGGAATATCCCAAACCAAAACTTACTATTTTATGATTTAGCTTGATGAAAAAAGAAAAATCCTGGACAACAATAGGTATCTGCACTGTTTTAAGCTTAGGAGGGCTATTAACATCAAACTAACCCTTGTTTTACCAAGAAGATTTGGATCAAAAATGTTTGTACTAAAACTTTCTTTTCTTGGTTTCATATTATGATAGTGGAACATTTAATGAACACATTTTGAATAATTATTAATTGATGTAGACTTTTTGATTAATTAATAATTAATGTAGACTTTTTTTTATTAATTATTAATTAATGTACGATTAATTATTAATTAATGTACACTTTTTTTTTATTAATTATTAGTTAATGTACACTTTTTGATTAATTATTCAACATTGCTTAGGTTCAAAGTATGGAGTTTTTTTTACTTTCTTCATGGAGTAAATAGATAACCCCTTATTTTTCAGAGAATTGGAAAATATAACCAACATTCAGCAGATCAGTTAAATTTAGATGAATCTGCAGTTGAATATTTACAGGTGAGTTTTAAGATATAAAGCTATTACATGATGAATAACCTTCAGTTTTATAATAAGGTCAACTCCACTTGCATAATTTTATCCTGAATAGCACCATTTTCTATTCATTTAGTGTAAAAAAAATCTGGTTATTTGCATATCTGGACAAGTGGCCTTTCCTTTAATTGCATAGAAAATAAATTACCATCCTGAATCCAAATATGCTTAGCTAAAATCTGACAATTATTTTTACTAGAAAGACCAATTAGGTATTTTAAGTACAATTTTTAAAACATTATTCTTGCATGCATTCTCATTTTCATTTGTATTGTCCCCTGCGTAACGCGTTGCGGGGGACATGGAAATACTGTCAGTCCGTCCAGTCTTGTTAGCGCTCTCCCATGTATAATTCTTGCCAGATTTTTATGAAACTTATATCATAGGTTTATATCAGCAATGTCTTGAATGAGTTTGAAAAATCAGTTCTGATCAATTATTTTAAAAGAGCTATGCCCCTTGGAAACATTAATTTTATGGAAAATTACATCATTAGTGCTCTCATGTGTACAATTCTTGCCAGAATTTTATGAAACTTATATCATAGGTTTATATTAGCAATGTCTTGGACGAGTTTGAAAATCAGTGCGGATCAGTTTTTTTTAAAAGAGTTATGCCCCTTGGAAACATTAGTTATATTGAAAATTGCATCGTTAGCGCTCTCAATTGTACAATTCTTGCCAGATTCTATGCTTGACATAGGTATTACTATCCGGCGGCGTAAACTATTTGTATAAAGCTTTATAATTCAGAAGGTAGAAGACCTGGATGCTTCATACCGTATATGCAGATACCTTATGTTACGAAGTTTCCTTCTGTCATATGCCCATTGTCCTTAACCTCATTTTCATGGTTCAGTGACTACATAAAAAAAAATTACAGTTTTTTTATACGACCGCAAAAAATTCTGGTATGACGTTGGCGTCGTCGTCGTCGTCCGAAGACACATTGGTTTTTGCACTCTAACTTTAGTTTCAGTGAATGGATCTCTATGAAATTTTACCATAAGGTTCAATACCACAAAAGGAAGGTGGGGATTGATTTTGGGGGTTATGATACCAACAGTTAAGGAATAAGGGGCCAAAAATAAGCATTTTTGTAATTTCCAGACATAAATTGTGTTAGTGTATGGATCTCTCTGACATTGTACCACAAGGTTCCATATCACAAAGGGAATGCTGGGATTAATTTTGGGGTAATTGCCTCCAAATTTAAGGAATTAGGGGCCAAAAAGGGGCAAAAAACAAGCATTTTTCTAGTTTCATGACAATAACTTGTGTGTAAGTGTATGGATCTCTCTGACATTAAACACAAGGTTCCATATCACAAAGGGAATGCTGGGATTGATTTTGGGGGTAATTGCCTCCAAATTTAAGGAATTAGGGGCCAAAAAGGGGCAAAAAACAAGCAGTTTTCTAGTTTCATGACAATAACTTGTGTGTAAGTGTATGGATCTTTATGAAATTGTAATACAAGGTTCCATATCACAAAGGGAAAGCTGGAATTGAGTTTGGGGGTAATTGCCCAAAATGTTTAGGAATTTGGGGCCAAAAAGGGGCCAAAAATAAGCATTTTTCTAGTTTCCAGACAATAACTTGTGTTGAAGTGTATGGATCTCTCTGAAATTGTACTGCAAGGTACCATACCACAAAGGGAAGGCTGGGATTGATTTTGGGGGTAATTGCCTTAAAATTGTAGGAATTAGGGGCCATAAAGGGGCCAAAAATAAGCATTTTCTAGTTTCCAGACAATAACTGTGGAACAGTGTATGGATCTCTCTGAAATTATACTACAAGTTTCCATACCACAAAGGGATGGTTAGGATTTGCTTTGGGGGTTATGGCTCAAACCGTTTAGGAATTAGGGGCAAAAAAGAGGGAAAAACAAGGTTGTCCTGGTTAATGGACAAATACTTTAGTACAAAACATAATTTAAAGCAGTGTAAGGGAGATAAATCAAATACATCATTGAAATTATCTCCCTTACACTGCTTTTAAATTATGTATAAAGTAATGGTTAATGAACAATAAAGATAATTTAAAACAGTGTAAGGGAGGTAATCCAAATACAACGTTTTGGTTACTTCCCTTACACTGCTTTTAAATTATGTTTAAAGAAATGCATATTTATAAAGGAAGACCAGTAAAAATATCTGCAAATGTTGCATCTTTTTTTTTTACAAAAAAATCCATATGAAAGATTTGACACTATTTTTAATTCTATTATAAAATAGATTAAGTTAGCACTATGGTAAATTAAAATGGGTAATTATGGTTGCCAACTCCATTGGAAATTTGAATTGAGATTATGACCATATCTTGAGGGAAAGAATTTTTTGGGGGAAAAAAGGGGGGGGGGGATAAAAAGAAATTGTGGGGGGTCAATTTTTTCTCATTTCAGATTTCAGAAATTAAAAAGAATTATTCTTCAAATATTATTTTTTTTTCAAATTTCAAATATTGAAAAATTTCAAGAAGTAATCTTTAATTGCACAGTATGGCGCATTAGATTTGTAAAATCTTTGATCACATTTATTTATTTGTTATGCCGAATCTAACAGTTTATTTAGATTTTTAATTTTGGGTCCAGTTTTCAAATTGGTCTACATTAAGGTCCAAAGGGTCCAAAATTAAACTTTGTTTGATTTTAGCAATAATTGAATATATGAGGTTCTTTCATATGCTGAATCTAAACATGTATTTAGATTTTTGATTTTTTGGCCCAGTTTTCAAGTTGGTCCAAATTGGGGTCCAAAATTAAACTTTGTTTGATTTCAACAAAAATTGAATATATGGGGTTCTTTGATATGCTGAATCTAACCATGTATTTAGATTTTTTATTTGTGGACCCCGTTATCAAATTGGTTCATATTGAGGTCAAAAGGGTCCAAAATTAAACTTTGTCTGATTTCATCAAAAATTGATTTATTGGGGTTCTTTGATATTCCAAATCTAACCATGTATTTAGATTTTTAATTTTGGGTCCTGTTTTTTAAATTGGTCTACATTAAGGTCCAAAGGGTCCAAAATTAAACTTAGTTTGATTTTAACAAAAATTGAATTCTTGGGGTTCTTTGATATGCTGAATCTAAACATGTGTTTAGATTTTTGATTATGGGCCCAGTTTTCAAGTTTGTCCAAGTTGGGGTCCAAAATTAAACTTTGTTTGATTTCAACAAAAATTGAATATATGGGGTTCTTTGATATGCTGAATCTAAACATGTATTTAGATTTTTGATTATGGGCCCAGTTTTCAAGTTGGTCCAAATTGGGGTCCAAAATTAAACTTTGTTTGATTTCAACAAAAATTGAATATATGAGGTTCTTTGATATGCTGAATCTAACCATGTATTTAGATTTTTTATTTGTGGGCCCCGCTATCAAATTGGTTCATATTGAGGTCAAAAGGGTCCAAAATTAAACTTTGTTTGATTTCATCAAAAATTGAATTATTGGGGTTCTTTGATATGCCAAATCTAACCGTGTTTTTAGATTTTTAATTTGGGTCCCGTTTTTTAAATTGGTCTTCATTGAGGTCCAAAGGGTCCAAAATTAAACTTAGTTTGATTTTAACAAAAATTGAATTCTTGGGGTTCTTTGATATGCTGAATCTAAACATGTGTTTAGATTTTTGATTATGGGCCCAGTTTTCAAGTTTGTCCAAGTTGGGGTCCAAAATTAAACTTTTTTTGATTTCAACAAAAATTGAATATATGGGGTTCTTTGATATGCTGAATCTAACCATGAATTTAGATTTTTTATTTGTGGGCCCCGCTATCAAATTGGTTCATATTGAGGTCAAAAGGGTCCAAAATTAAACTTAGTTTGATTTTAGCAAAAATTGAATTCTTGGGGTTCTTTAATATGCAGAATCTAAACATGTGTTTAGATTTTTATACGTACCAACAGTTAAGGAATTAGGGGCCAAAAAGGGGCCAAAAATAAGCATTTTCTAGTTTCCAGACAATAACTGTGGAACGGTGTATGGATCTCTCTGAAATTATTCTACAAGTTTCCATACCACTAAGGGATGGTTAGGATTTGCTTTGGGGGGTTATGGCTCAAACCGTTTAGGAATTAGGGGCAAAAAAGGGGGAAAAACAAGGTTGTCCTGGTTAATGGACAAATACTTTAGTACAAAACATAATTTAAAGCAGTGTAAGGGAGATAAATCAAATACATCATTGAAATTATCTCCCTTACACTGCTTTTAAATTATGTATAAAGTAATGGTTAATGAACAATAAAGATAATCTAAAACAGTGTAAGGGAGGTAATCCAAATACAACGTTTTGGTTACTTCCCTTACTCTGCTTTTAAATTATGTTTAAAGAAATGCATATTTATAAAGGAAGACCAGTAAAAATATCTGCAAATGTTTTCATCTTTTTTTTTTACAAAAAAATCCATATGAAAGATTTGACACTATATTTTTATTAATTCTATTATAAAATAGATTAAGTTAGCACTATGGTAAATTTAAATGGGTAATTATGGTTGCCAACTCCATTGGAAATTTGAATTGAGATTATGACCATATCTTGAGGGAAAGAATTTTTTTGGGGGAAAAAGGGGGGGGGGATAAAAAGAAATTGTGGGGGTCAATTTTTTCTCATTTCAGATTTCAGAAATTAAAAAGAATTATTCTTCAAATATTATTTTTTTTTCAAATTTCAAATATTGAAAAATTTCAAGAAGTAATCTTTAATTGCACAGTATGGCGCATTAGATTTGTAAAATCTTTGATCACATTTATTAATTTGTTATGCCGAATCTAACAGTGTATTTAGATTTTTAATTTTGGGTCCAGTTTTCAAATTGGTCTACATTAATGTCCAAAGGGTCCAAAATTAAACTTTGTTTGATTTTAGCAAAAATTGAATATATGAGGTTCTTTGATATGCTGATTCTAAACATGTATTTAGATTTTTGATTTTTGGCCCAGTTTTCAAGTTGGTCCAAATTGGGGTCCAAAATTAAACTTTGTTTGATTTCAACAAAAATTGAATATATGGGGTTCTTTGATATGCTGAATCTAACCATGTATTTAGATTTTTATACGACCGCAAAAATTGAAAATTTTTTGGTCGTATATTGGTATGACGTTGGCGTCGTCGTCGTCGTCGTCGTCGTCGTCGTCGTCTGGCGTCGTCCGAAGACACATTGGTTTTCGCACTCTAACTTTAGTTTAAGTGAATGAATCTCCATGAAATTTTACCATAAGGTTCAATACCACGAAAGGAAGGTGGGGATTGATTTTGGGGGTTATGGTACCAACAGTTAAGGAATTAGGGGCCAAAAAGGGGCCAAAAATAAGCATTTTTGTAACTTCCAGACAATAACTTGTGTGTAAGTGTATGGATCTCTCTGACATTGTACCACAAGGTTCCATATCACAAAGGGAAGGCTGTAATTGATTTTGGGGGTAATTGCCTCAAAATTTTAGGAATTAGGGGCCAAAAAAGGGGCAAAAAACAAGCATTTTTCTAGTTTCATGACAATAACTTGTGTGTAAGTGTTTGGATATTTCTGAAATTGTACTACAAGGTTCCATATCACAAAGGGAAAGCATGAATTGAGTTTGGGGGTAATTGCCCGAAACGTTTAGGAATTGGGGGCCAAAAAGGGGCCAAAAATAAGCATTTTTCTAGTTTCCAGACAATAATTTGTGTTGAAGTGTATGGATCTCTCTGAAATTGTACTGCAAGGTACCATACCACAAAGGGAAGGCTGGGATTGAGTTTGGGGGTGATGAATCATAAGGGGGTTCAAAAAATTTGGGGGGGGGATTTTTTTTTTTCTTTTTTTTTCTTTTTTTCCTTTTTTTTTTCTTTTAAAATTTTCCATTTTAAGTTGGTTATTTCTGATTAATATTTAAAAGCAAATAATAATGATATGGTAGGAGATACACACCAAACAGGATGTGTAAATTATTATATAATAAGTATTGTGCAATAGCAAGAAATTTTCAATTGCAAGAAATCTTCAATTGCACAGTATTGCGCAATAGCAAGAAATCTTCAATTGCACAGTATTGCGCAATAGCAAGAAATATCCAATAGCACACTATTGCGCAATAGCAAGAAATTGTCAATTGTACAGTATTGCACAATAGCAAGAAATATTCAATTGCACAGTATTGTGCAAAAGAAGATACTTCGTATAAATTGCTTATTTCTTGATCAATTTCAATGGGGTTTTATTCTTGAATTCTTGGGGTTCTTTAATATGCTGAATCTAACCGTGTATTAAGTTTTTGGATTTTGGGCCCCGTTTTTAAATTGGTCCACATTGAGGTCCAAAGGGTCCAAAATTTAACTTTGTTTGATTTCATCAAAAATTGAATTATTGGGGTTCTTTGATATGCCGAATCTAACCGTGTATTTAGATTCTTAATTTTTGGTTCCGTTTTCAAATTGGTCTACATTAAGGTCAAAAGGGTCCAAAATTAAACTTAGTTTGATTTTAACAAAAATTGAATTTTTAGGGTACTTTGATATGCTGAATCTAAACATGTATTTAGATTTTTGATTATGGGCCCAGTTTTCAAGTTGGTCCAAGTTGGGGTCCAAAATTAAACTTTGTTTGATTTCAACAAAAATTGAATATATGGGGTTCTTTGATATGCTGAATCTAAACATGTATTTAGATTTTAGATTTTTGGCCCAGTTTTCAAGTTGGTCCAAATTGGGGTCCAAAATTAAACTTTGTTTGATTTCAACAAAAAATGAATATATGGGGTTCTTTGATATGCTGAATCTTACCATGTATTTAGATTTTTTATTTTGTGGGCCTGCTATCAAATTGGTTCATATTGAGGTCAAAAGGGTCCAAAATTAAAATTTGTTTGATTTCATCAAAAATTGAATTATTGGGGTTCTTTGATATGCCAAATCTAACTGTGTTTTTAGATTTTTAATTTTGGGTCCCGTTTTTTAAATTGGTCTACATTAAGGTCCAAAGGGTCCAAAATTAAACTTAGTTTGATTTTAACAAAAATTGAATTCTTGGGGTACTTTGATATGCTGAATCTAAACATGTGTTTAGATTTTTGATTATGGGACTAGTTTTCAAGTTTGTCCAAGTTGGGGTCCAAAATTAAACTTTGTTTGATTTCAACAAAAATTGAATATATGGGGTTCTTTGATATGCTGAATCTAACCATGTATTTTGATTTTGGACATTGGACCATAATAGGTAAATTAAAAAAATTGAAGTTCTTAGACCACATTCTTTCTGTGTCAGAAACCTATGCTGTGTCAAATATTTAATCACAATCCAAATTCAGAGCTGTATCAAGCTTGAATGTTGTGTCCATACTTGCCCCAACTGTTCAGGGTTCGACCTCTGCGGTCGTATCAAGCTGCGCCCAGCGAAGCATTTTATTTATTTGTGGACCCCGTTATCTAATTGGTTCATATTGAGGTCAAAAGGGTCCAAAATTAAACTTTGTTTGATTTCATCTAAAATTGAATAATTGGGGTTCTTTGATATTCCAAATCTAACCGTGTATTTAGGTTCTTAATTTTGGGTCCTGTTTTTTAAATTGGTCTACATTGAGGTCCAAAGGGTCCAAAATTAAACTTAGTTTGATTTTAACAAAAATTGAATTCTTGGGGTTCTTTGATTTGCTGAATCTAAACATGTGTTTAGATTTTTGATTATGGGCCCAGTTTTCAAGTTGGTCCAAGATAGGGTGCAGTATTTAAACTTTGTTTGATTTCAACAAAAATTGAATATATGGGGTTCTTTGATATGCTGAATCTAAACATGTATTTAGATTTTTGATTATGGGCCCAGTTCTCAAGTTGGTCCAAATTGGGGTCCAAAATTAAACTTTGTATGATTTCAACAAAAATTGAATATATGATGTTCTTTGATATGCTGAATCTAACCATGTATTTAGATTTTTTATTTGTAGGCCCCGCTATCAAATTGGTTCATATTGAGGTCAAAAGGGTCCAAAATTAAACTTTGTTTGATTTCATCAAAAATTGAATTATTGGGGTTCTTTGATATGCCAAATCTAACCGTGTTTTTAGATTTTTAATTTGGGTCCCGTTTTTTAAATTGGTCTTCATTGAGGTCCAAAGGGTCCAAAATTAAACTTAGTTTGATTTTAACAAAAATTGAATTCTTGGGGTTCTTTGATATGCTGAATCTAAACATGTATTTAGATTTTTGATTATGGGCCCAGTTTTCAAGTTGGTCCAAGTTGGGGTCCAAAATTAAACTTTTTTTGATTTCAACAAAAATTGAATATATGGGGTTCTTTGATATGCTGAATCTAACCATGAATTTAGAATTTTTATTTGTGGGCCCCGCTATCAAATTGGTTCATATTGAGGTCAAAAGGGTCCAAAATTAAACTTTGTTTGATTTCATCAAAAATTGAATTATTGGGGTTCTTTGATATTCCAAATCTAACCGTGTATTTAGATTTTTAATTTTAAGTCCCGTTTTTTAAATTGGTCTACATTAAGGTCCAAAGGGTCCAAAATTAAACTTAGTTTGATTTTAGCAAAAATTGAATTCTTGGGGTTCTTTGATATGCTGAATCTAAACATGTGTTTAGATTTTTTATTATGGGCCCAGTTTTCAAGTTTGTCCAAGTTGGAGTCCAAAATTAAACTTTGTTTGATTTTAACAAAAATTGAATATATGGTGTTCTTTGATATGCTGAATCTAACCATGTATTTTGATTTTGGACATTGGACCATAATAGGTAAATTAAAAAAATTCAAGTTCTTAGACCACATTCTTTCTGTGTCAGAAACCTATGCTGTGTCAAATATTTAATAACAATCCAAATTCAGAGCTGTATCAAGCTTGAATGTTGTGTCCATACTTGCCCCAACTGTTCAGGGTTCGACCTCTGCGGTCGTATCAAGCTGCGCCCCAGCGAAGCATTTTATTGATTATGGGCCCAGTTTTCAAGTTTGTCCAAGTTGGGGTCCAAAATTAAACTTTGTTTGATTTTAACAAAAATTGAATATATGGGGTTCTTTGATATGCTGAATCTAACCATGTATTTTGATTTTGGACATTGGACCATAATAGGTAAATTAAAAAAATTCAAGTTCTTAGACCATATTCTTTCTGTGTCAAAAACCTATGCTGTGTCAAATATTTAATAACAATCCAAATTCAGAGCTGTATCAAGCTTGAATGTTGTGTCCATACTTGCCCCAACTGTTCAGGGTTCGACCTCTGCGGTCGTATCAAGCTGCGCCCCAGCGAAGCATTTTATTCTAGTTGCCAGACAATAACTTGTGTTCAAGTGTATGGATCTCTCTGAAATTGTACTGCAAGGTACCATACCACAAAGGGAAGGCTGGGATTGAGTTTGGGGATGATGAATCATAAGGAGGTTCAAAAAATTTGGGGGGGGATTTTTTTTTCCTTTTTTTCTTTAAAATTTTCCGTTTTAAATTGGTTATTTCTGATTTATATATGTAACACTCCCAAACGTGTCCATCCCCCCAAACGTGTCCGATACCCCCAAACGTGTCTATTCCGCCCAAACGTGTCCTTCAAATCATAAATCGCCCAAACGTGTCCGTTTTCACATCCCCAAACGTGTCCGATAATTGTTATTCGCCAAAACGTGTCCAGATGAAAACGCCACAACGTCTCAAAACTTTTAGCGCCAATATAACTCTTTGAAGTCAAAAACGTTTACGGCAATTATATGGCGTGGGATACGATAAAAGACGTCGGGTTCGGTTGAATTCTTAAAAAATCAAAGTAGCTACCCAAATAAATCTGGAGGAAAGTTTAGTAAGCCGTATAGACAAATGTTCAAGACATGCTTCACTGTGCACAGTGACTTCTGCTTTAAAAAAAATAGACACCAGGTTAAAAAAGAATCCCACAATAAAAAGTTATTTTTACTTGCAGCGGTTTTAATAATGTTTTATATAAAGTTCACATAGAGGTATTTCACAAATAAAAATTTAATATATTTTATCTTGTAAATTTTCACGGTGCTTCACTGTTAATAAAGTGGAAACTTATTAGCATTAATTTGTTCAACGCCGGTTATTTTTTATTAAGTATGAAAGCTAAATTTGCAACACCTAATGAACTATTGAATGTTGATTGCTTAATGTCCAGTGGCAAATATGTCATGCGTATTTAAAAAAAACATAAACATTGCAATTTATTAGTTTTGTACAGTTTTAATAATTGTTTACTAAGTGGATTCTATTGTACTAATATTCTTCGATGATACCTAAATGGCTATATAATGTATGAGGGTATTGTACGACCTGCTTCATGCAAAAGAGGTTTGTGTGCTTTTAAAAGTGAGACTTTACAGTTTCATATAAACCGGACACGTTTGGCCTTTTTTTTAATTAAATGGACACAACTGGGCGCTTATAAACAGAACACGTTTTGGCGCCCTTTAGTAACTAGACATGTTTTGCAGTTCAGCGAGGTCATATGGACACGTTTGGGGGAATCGGACACGTTTGGGGGGATGGACACGTTTCTGAGTGTTACATATATAAAAGCAAATAATAATGATATGGTTTGAATAGGTAAATTAAAAATTTTTAAGTTCTTAGACCACATTCATTCTGTGTCAGAAACCTATGCTGTGTCAAATATTTAATTACAATCCAAATTCAGTGCTGTATCAAACTTGAATGTTGTGTCCATACTTGCCCCAACTGTTCAGTGTTCGACCTCTGCGGTCGTATCATTATGTCATGTGAATTTCTCACTTATTATGAGTAATAGAATAACTATATTTGGTATATTGGTTCCTTGCAACGTCTATATGTCCGTCAAACAGGGTTGACCTGACCTCGACCTCAATTCATGGATCAGTGATCAAGGTTAAAGTTACGTGTTTAGGTTCGTTTTTCAGATACTGCAAGCAGCAGGTCAACTTTATGTGGTGTATGGAATGATTGTAAGGGGTACATGTCAGACTGGCAGATTTCATCTGAACTTGACCTCATTTTCATAGTTCATTGGTCATTGTTAATTTTTATACGCCCGTTTACGGGACGTATTATGGTATACCTCTGTCCGTCCATCCGTCTGTCCGTCTGTCCATCCGTCGTCAACATGTTGGACATTAACTCAAAAACACTTTAACCAATTTGCATAAAACTTTGGTGAATTGTTTATATCTATTGACGTGAGCTCCCTTTCGTTTTTTATAAATTTTAGATTTTACGTTTCCGAGTTATGGGGTTTTATTCATTAAAAAAAGGGGGATTTTCCAGTTTTCGGACAATAACTCAAGAATGCTTTCACCAACTTGCAAGAAATTGTGGTGAATTGTTTATATCTATTGACATGAGCTCCCTTTTGATTTTTATATATTTTAGATTTTACATTTCCGAGTTACAGGGTTTTATTCATAAAAAAAGGGGGATTTTCCAGTTTTTGGACAAAAAAATCAAAAACGCTTTCAGCAGTTCTTATGAAACTTTGGTGAATTGTTTATATCTATTGATGTAAGCTCCGTTTAGAATTTTATAAATTTTTCATTTATCATTTCTGAGTTATGGGATTTTATTCATTAAAAAAGGGGGGATTTTCCAGTTTTCATCCAATAACTTCAGCAGTTCTTATGAAACTTTGGTGAATTGTTTATATCTATTGATGTAAGCTCCGTTTAGAATTTCATAAATTTTACATGTATCATTTCTGAGTTAAAGGGGGGATTTTCCAGTTTTCGGACAATAACTCAAAAATGCTGTCAGCAATTCTCATGAAACTTTGGTGAATTGTTTATATCTATTGATGTAAGCTCCCTTTACATTTTCATAAATTTCTAATATGACATTGAGAATTAATTGAACTTTATTTGTTTATAGTCTGACAACAGATTTACTAAGTATTGCGCAACAGCACAGTGTATTGCACAACAGCAAGAAATCTTAAATTGAATATAAATTCAATTCATATAACCAATTTCAAGTTCTTTGACTACATTTATTCAGAAACCTATAATATGTCAAACATTTAATTACAATCCAAATTCAGACCTGTATCAAGCTTGAATATTGTGTCCATTTTTGCCCCAACTGTTCAGGGTTGGACCTCTGTGGGCGTATCCAGCTGCGCTCAGCGAAGCAGTTTATTTGTGTTTGGTCTGTTTTTCAAGTACTATAAGCAATAGGTCAACTATGTTTGTTGTATGGAATGATTGTAAGGTGTACATGTCTGTCTAGCTTGTGTCATCTAAACTTGACCTCATTTTAATGGTTCATTGGTCAATGTTAAGTTTTTGTGTTTTTGTCTGTTTTTCAAGTACTATAAGCAATAGGTCAACTATATTTGGTTTATAGAATGATTGTAAGGTGTACATGTCTGTCTAGCCAGTATCATATGACCTTGACCTCATTTCCATGGTTCATTGGTTAATATTAAGTTTTTATACGACCGCAAAAAAATTTTTGTGGTCGTATATTGGTATGACGTTGGCGTCGTCGTCATCGTCCCGCGTCGTCCGAAGACACATTGGTTTTCGCACTCTAACTTTAGTTTAAGTGAATGGATCTCTATGAAATTTTACCACAAGGTTCAATACCACAAAAGGAAGGTTAGGATTGATTTTGGGGGTTATGGTACCAACAGTAAAGGAATTAGGGGCCAAAAAGGGGCCAAAAATAAGCATTTTTGTAACTTCCAGACATAACTTGTGTGTTAGTGTATGGCTCTCTCTGACATTGTATCACAAGGTTCCATATCTCAAAAGGAATGCTGGGATTGATTTTGGGGGTAATTGCCTCAAAATTTTAGGAATTAGGGGCCAAAAAAGGGGCAAAAAACAAGCATTTTTCTAGTTTCATGACAATAACTTGTGTTTAAGTGTATGGATCTTTCTGAAATTGTACTACAAGGTTCCATATCACAAAGGGAAAGCTGGGATTGAGTTTGGGGGTAGTTGCTGAAACGTTTAGGAATTTGGGGCCAAAAAGGGGCCAAAAATAAGCATTTTTCTAGTTTCCAGACAATAACTTGTGTTCAAGTGTATGGATCTCTCTGAAATTGTACTGCAAGGTACCATACCTCAAAGGGAAGACTGGGATTGATGATGGGGGTAATTGCCTCAATATTTTAGGAATTAGGGGCCAAAAAGGTGAAAAAAACAAGCATTTTTCTAGTTTCAGGACAATAACTTGTGTGCAAGTGTATTGATCTTCCTGAAATTGTACTACAAGGTTCCATATCACAAAGGGAAAGCTGGGTTTGAGTTTGGGGGTACTTGCCCTAAACGTTTAGGAATTTGGGGCCAAAAAACACATTTTTCTAGTTTCCAGACAATAACTTGTGTTCAAGTGTATGGATCTCTCTGAAATTGTACTGCAAGGTACCATACCACAAAGGGAAGGCTGGGATTGAGTTTGGGGGTGATGAATCATAAGGGTGTTCAAAAAATTGGGGGGGGGGGGATTTTTTTTTTTTTCCTTTTTTTTCTTTTTTCCTTTTTTTTTTTCTTTTAAAATTTTCCATTTAAGTTGGTTATTTCTGATTTATATTTAAAAGCAAATTATAATGATATGGTAGGAGATACACACCAAACAGGATGTGTAAATTATTATATAATAAGTATTGTGCAATAGTAAGAAATTTTCAATTGCACAGTATTGCACAATAGCAAGAAATCTTCAATTGCACAGTATTGCGCAATAGCAAGAAATCTTCAATTGCACAGTATTGCGCAATAGCAAGAAATATCCAATAGCACAATATTGCGCAATAGCAAGAAATTGTCAATTGTACAGTATTGCGCAATAGCAAGAAATATTTAATTGCACAGTATTGTGCAAAAGAAGATACTTCGTATAAATTGCTTATTTCTTGACCAATTTCAATGGGGTTTTATTCTTGAATTCTTGGGGTTCTTTAATATGCTGAATCTAACCGTGTATTAAGTTTTTGGATTTTGGGCCCTGTTTTTAAATTGGTCCACATTGAGGTCCAAAGGGTCCAAAATTAAACTTTGTTTGATTTCATCAAAAATTGAATTATTGGGGTTCTTTGATATGCCGAATCTAACCGTGTATTTAGATTCTTAATTTTTGGTTTCGTTTTCAAATTGGTCTACATTAAGGTCCAAAGGGTCCAAAATTAAACTAAGTTTGATTTTAACAAAAATTTAATTCTTAGGGTTCTTTGATATGCTGAATCTAAACATGTATTTAGATTTTTGATTTTTGGGCCCCGTTATCAACTTTGTCCACATTGAGGTCAAAAGGGTCCAAAATTAAACTTTGTTTGATTTCATCAAAAATTGAATTATTGGGGTTCTTTGATATGCTGAATCTAACCATGTATTTAGATTTTGGATATTGGACCATAATAGGTGAATGTTCAATTTAAAATTTTTAAGTTCTTAGACCACATTCATTCCGTGTCAGAAACCTATGCTGTGTCAAATATTTAATCACAATCCAAATGCAAAGCTGTATCAAGCTTGAATGTTGTGTCCATACTTGCCCCAACTGTTCAGGGTTCGACCTCTGCGGTCGTATCAAGCTGCGCCCTGCGGAGCATTTTATTGTGTTTTGGTCTGTTTTTCAATTACCATAAGCAATGGGTCAACTATATTTGGTGTATGGAATAATTGTAAGGTGTACATGTCTGTGTGACAGTTTTTATCTGAACGTGACCTCATTGTCATGGATCTTTAAAAATGTTAAGTTTTTGTGACACTTGTAGTAAAACCTTTATCTTAAAGACTTTCAACATAAAATCAATGGTCAGTAAAACAGGCGAGACATTTCAGCGTGTGCACTCTTATTAAAAGAGTTGTGCCCTTGGAAATATTAATTATATGGAAAATTGCCATATGAGCACTCTAATGAGTACAATTCTTGCCAGGTTTTTATGAAATTTATATTATAGGTTTATATCATCAATGTTCTTGAAGAGTTCAAAAATCAGTGCCTATCAATTATTTTTAAAAGAGTTATGCCCCTTGAAAATATTGATTATATAGAAAATTGCAATGTTATCGCTCTCATGTGTTCAATTCTTGCCAGAATTTTATAAAACTTATATCATAGGTTTATATCAGCAATGTAAAATTTTTAGTTTCCGTTCTCCAACTTAAGTTTACCTCAACCAAATGTTACGAAACTTATACACAATGTTTATTACCACAAAACACAGATCAAGTTTGAATTTTGGTGGCGTCACTTTAACCGTTCTAGAGTTATGCTCCTTTGTAAATGGAAAAATTGCAAAGTTTTTAGTTTCCGTTCTCTAACTTAAGTTTGCCACAACCAAATGTTATAAAACTTATACACAATGCTTATTTATAAATGGAAAAATTGCAAAATTTTTATTTTCTTCTAAATATCAAGTAATTTTAAAAATTGGAGTTATCTTCCTTTGTCAATGATTATAGTTGAATCAACTACAATCAATGCTTTATACAATGCAATGTTTAATTTTGACTTCCACTGATAAAACACAGATCAAGTTGAATTTGGGTAGTGTCACTTTAACCATTATTGAGTTATGCCCCTTTATAAATCGAAAGATTGCAAAATTGTTAGTTTCCATTCTGTAACTTAAGTTTGCCCCAACCAAACATTATGAAACCTATACACAATATTCATTACCACAAAACTAAGATCAAGTACAAATTGGGGCCTCGGTGGCAGAGTGGTCTAAGTAGTTACTACTGTAATCACTAGCCAGTCAACACTGAGGTTGTGAGTTCGAACCCCGCTAGTGCGGGTGCACTCGACTCCAATCTTTATTGATTAGGATTGTTAGTTTTCCTACCGAAGGTCGGTGGTTTTCTCCGGGCATTCCGGCTTCTTCCACCAATAAAAACTGGCCGCCATGAAAAAGCCCAAAAGCGGTGCTTAAAAGTGGTGTTAAAACACTAAAATCAAATCAAGTACAAATTTTTTGTTTCCGTTTTCTTACTTTAGTTTGCCTCAACCAAATGTTATGAAACTTATACACAATGCTTATTATCACATAATACAGATAAAGTACGAAATTTGGTGGCGACACTTTTACCATTCTTGAGTTACGTCCCTTTATAAACATAAAAATTGCTGAATTTTTTGTTTCCGTTCCCTAACTTTAGTTTGTCTCAACCAAATGTTATAAAACTTATACACAACCGTTCTAGAGTTATGCGTGTTTACAAATAGAAAAATTGCTGAATTTTTAGTTTCTGTTCTCTACTTAAGTTAGCCTCAACCAAATGTTATGAGACTTACACACAATGCTTATAACCACAAAACTCAGATCAAGTTCAAATTTGGGTAGCGTCACTTTTACCGTTCTTCAGTTATGTCCCTTTATAACTATATGATATACATGCAGGGGCATCATCTGTGTCCACATGTGGACACTATCCACATTTATTTTTATGCCCCTGCCGTAGCGGTGGGGGCATTAAGTTTTACCCTTGTCTGTCTGTACATACGTACGTGCGTACGTCCCAAAATTGAATTTCGTTCTCTAACTTGAAGTGGTGAAACAGCCAAACATAAGAACAATTAATAAAAATTTGTTGAAAAAGGCTAGACTCATCAGATCCACACAAAACACACAAAAAAATACAACTAACAAAAATACTGAAGACAAAGTACCGATCTGAGAGTACTCACAGTTACTGAAAGCTAGTTCAAAGCCAGTAACAACGAATAAAATAATTGTGTATGAAAGACTAAAATATCGATCAGCACACATCAAAAAGATTTAGTGTAAGGATGTCATAAAGAATCAGAGACATACATGATCTTGTGGAATGTGAAAAAATATAAGTATCGATAGAATGTAGGACCGTAAATTTCCATCATAAATCTTCAAGGAATTGAAATTAAATGACATAGGCATTAAAAACTTCTGAACCTGACATGACTTGCGCCAAGTATGTTGTTGGGGTGTATAAAAGATAAAACTGTGTTAGCCCATCATGTTAAGACATATGTAGAAGATACGTAGGTGGAAGCAAGTCTACTGTGGATTCACTCATTTTTGTGGGTACCAATTTTCTTGGATTTAGCAAAAATTGTAATTTCGTGGATATTATATTTTGTGGCTTTGCCAAAGTATGCATTCAAGCCTATAGAAAATTTGTGCGTCGTTGGACATTCAAATTCATGGTTCATCTTTACGCACGAAAATTGGTATCCAACTAATAATAATGAATCTACAGTAATCTCATTATTAAAACATTCATTGATTTCAGAGATTGTTCAACATTCAGTACCAAGATGCAAGGAAAATGTTAGGAAGATTTGGTCTAGCAAGTCATGCACATACAATCAAGATAAGAGATCTGTCCGGTGGTCAGAAATCTAGAGTGGCCTTAGCTGATTTACGAAGTAGACAACCGGATGTACTCATTCTGGTGAGTGGCTTTTATAGATTCCAAAAACCTATGCAGTGTCAAATATTTTAAATCACATTCCAAATTCATAGCTGAATCAAGCTTGAATGTTGTGTCCATTCTTGCCCAAACGGTTCAGGGTTCAACCTTTGCAGTCGTATCAAGCTGTGCCCAGAGGGGCATTTGATTGGATAATAGATGCAGAGTGAAATATTCTAATGAGCTCCAAAGGTGTAATCTTCTCTTTGAAAATTTGCTATTCAGAAGCATCAATTATGTCTTGTGACCCTGTTTTACATCAGAACAGAATGAAATCAATATATTTATAAAAAAAAAATGCATTATTTTTTAACAAAAAAAATTTATGTTAAATTTCTTACATTTTATATATGGGACTGTACATTTTGTTCAAGTGAGCTTACAAAAAAATTGGTTGTTGACAGAAAAAGGATAGATAGTACCAGTTTGTTTTAATAGAAACCAGAAAAATTGTGTGGTTTTTAGGTGATTAAAATTGATCATTTTCCTATTTCGGGTGTCTGTGGTTGACAAGGACAAAAGGATCAGCAATCGTCACTTAAAATCACTCAGAAATTCTATGCTATTCTGAAATAAAAAAAAGGTTTAAAAACACAGATTTTCTTTCCATAAAAGACATTAAATTTGAAAGACCAACAAATTTATGTTTAATTTGACCTGAAGCATGATATTGCTATGTTGTAAAGTATGATGTATTTTAATGTCTTTTACCTACCTTGCTGCTATATAAATAAAAACAAAAAATCCTGTATTCTTTGATAATAAGGTTGGGACAGTATGTAAGCTCAGTTCGTACAATACTTTCAATTTTTTGACACTTTTTTTCACAGGATGAACCTACAAACAATCTGGATATAGAATCTAATGATGCTTTAGCTGATGCTATCAATGCATTTGAAGGAGGTAATATTTACATATATATTTATACACTTTCTCTACTGATCTTTATATTGTATGTTTTTAGGAAATTCTACTGATTGAACTGAGGGAGCTCAAGGGTAGAGATGAAGAAAAAAACCAATGAAAAAAACATTTTAACTGTACCACATTTTCATTGTCTGAATCAGGTTGTCTGGTTATATATACATATTTTTTTTATACCCCCACCTTACTGGAGGGGGCATTAAGTTTTACCCTTGCTGAAATTTTCTGAATCTTTGAAAAGTATTAAAACCTTTAGAAATACAAATACTTTTCCTTTCTGTAACTTTAGGTTGCCTCAACAAAATGTTATTAAACTCATACACAATGCTTATTACCACAAAACACAGATCAAGTTTGAATTTGGGTAGCGTTACTCTCACCTTTCTAGAGTTATGCCCCTTTACAAATGGAAAAATTGTTGAATTTTTCATTTCCATTCTCTAACTTTATTTTGTCTCAACCAAATGTTATGAAACTTATACAGAATGCTTATTACAACAAAACTTGGATCAAGTACAAATTTGGGTAGTGTCACTCTAATACCGTTCTTAAGTTATGTCCCTTTATAACTTTACATGCAAGCAGGCACATCATCTGTGTCCCATGGACACATTCCCCATTTATTTTAATCTAGGGCGATTATTTTTAAAAGATCATTAATATCTTGAGATAAATTTGTTCACATCTTTTCTGAATTAGGGTTGAGCAAAAGTTTGACATATTGAATAGTCACTTATCTATTGTAGAAGACCATGATCATGTTGACCTTTTGATGTCTTTTGGGTTTTTTTGTGTGTGTCTTTCAGTAGCTATCACATTGAATTATAACCACATCTCTTTTATTTATATGTATATGTAAATAAATAAGAAGATGCGGTATGATTGCCAACTAGACAACTCTCTACCAGAGACCAGATGACATAGAAGTCAACAACTATAGGTCAGCGAAATAGCCTTCAACAATGAGCAAAACCCATACCACACAGTAAGCTCCAAGGCCCTGAAATGACAAATGTAAGAAAAAGGAAAGAAAACTAACGGCCTGATTTATGTACAAAACAATTGATGAAAAACAGATATGATGTACAGAAACAAACAACAACCACTCAATTACAGGCTACTTACTTGGAGAAATGTCTTATTCACTGTGAGTTAGCTCCATCTGATGTCAATTTCACACCAATCTTTTTTAAGGCATACTAATGCTATAGTATGCTTGATAATAAAATCAGATGCTGTGTACAAAATAAATCAATATTATTTACAGTATTCAATTAGGAATTGAATGCTTCTTTTTGTAAATTTATTTGGGTGTAAAAATATTGCATGAATTACATTTTGTATGAAGTGCAGAATTGTTCATTCTAAACATGTGTCAACACTTTTACAACCCTATAAAATTACTAAAAGAAGCATTCAATTCTTAATTAAATACTGTACGGTAAATAATATTGATTGATTTTGTATACAGCATCTGATTTCATTATCAAGCATACTATAGCATTGGTATGCCTAATTTTGCTAAAAGAGATTGGTGTGAAATAAGTTGAATAAAACTGATGTACTGTGATGATTGTGATGCATTTATTGTGGTTTTATAATTTTGAGTATTTAGTGGATGTTACATGAATATCAATTGCTTGTAGGTGTTGTTATAGTTAGTCACGATGAAAGACTGATCCGAGAGACAGATTGTCAATTATGGGTTGTAGAAGATCAGACATTAAATGAAATTGAAGGAGACTTTGATGAGTATAGAAGGGAACTATTAGAATCACTCGGAGAAGACATTCATATAGCACAACCACAGGATATGGAAACAACAGACTGATCTCAATGTGTTGTTATATTGTGCATTATTTATTGATGATCTTAGTACAGGAGAGCAGGCTATCCATCTTCTAGTAAAAGTTAAATGATATTCTTGTATTTCCTCAGCATCTGGAATTTTAAGTGCTTTTTTATCAGGAAAACTTTAATATATATGTTGTTCTAAATATTAAAAAAATATATACAAGGTTCCAGATCTAGATGATGTTTACCTGTTATTTTGTCAATAAGTTTGTTCATTTCATGTTTATAAGTCATCAAAAAGCATGGACTTATGAACAAAACAAACTTATTGGACTTTCTCAATAGTTTCAAAAACACCTGTACATGAAAATGGTAAACCTGTCTTAAAAACAAAAAAAGATCTTATTTAAGAATTCGCTATAAGCTATGACTGTACAAATGTGGACTAAAACATATAATTTTGTTCCAGTAAAAAAATAAAATACCTATGACGTTTGTTCATTTATTACACTAAAAATTCCCTTGGCAATTAAAGGTGTTTATTAGCAGACTGGCACTTTTTTCATCAGGTAAGCCTCTTGTTGATTCGTGCAGTCATTTGCTTCTCAATTTATGCCATTCGTTTAATGATTGAAAACTTGTCTGGCAATGAAATTGACATTTTGGAGTATTCTGCAATACAAACCATTTTAATTGTCTTTTGCCTTAATCTTTATCCAAACTTGTTACCTTTTCACAGCTTCAACATCTAGGGGGCAATATTTAGCCAAGAAGATTAAGTCTGTACACTTCCAGGCCAGTGATTTTACAAACAGTTGTATGACTTGCATCCAATCATAAACCTTAACAAACTATATAAATTATAATAATAGTCATAAATGAAATGAATTTCTCTATGAAATGCAGGATTGCTGTACAAATCAATAATCTTACTCTTAGAATTATTGTTTTCACTTATTAACTTGAATAAAATACAACTGTTTGATCATGTTGTGTTGATTTATCAATAATATAAGTAGTATTTGGTCATTCCGACTTTTAGTTTTTTAGTCGTTTGGTTTGATGACACAAATTCCCATCTACAGGTAGTCTAAAAAATTTTATAAATCTCATCTTATTTTTTTTAATTTTCACAATGATAGAACTTAATTGTATCTGGTTGAATAATTGGATGTTATTTTATTTATTGACAAGTTGAGTTTAATGTCATACTGATAATTCAAGATTATGAAAAAGATAAAAGAAATATTGACAATTGCATTTCTATAAAAAAAAAAAAACTGACTACAATGTATATTCTTTTCTAACATTTATAAATCTTCTTAAAAATCTATGATATGATGATATAACATGTCATTTGCAGTCTTGTATTCATATAATAATACATCATTAAAGACCAAGAGGACTAGAAAAAAAAGTTGTATACATGTGAATAGAAATCTGTTCATTTTTTCTTCTTCTTTTTTCCTCCTTTCTTTCCTCCCTTCTTTCCTTTTTTTCCTTTCTTCCCCTTTTTGCCTTTTCCTGACTTTTTCCTGGCCTTCTTCTCACCACCAGGAATACTGAAATCTGGAACTTCAAAAACTTCACTGACTTCCTCGATTTCAGGCATATCACCTTGTTTAACATCATTGATAATGTTCCATATTTCCGATTCATGTTTTGTCAAGTCTATTGGTTTAATGCCTGTCACCGTCATTGCCTCTGGTTTAGCTCCAGCAATAAGTAAATGCTTCACAATTTCACTGTAGTTTCCTATATAAAAAAGAAGAAGAAAATATTAATTGCAGAAACAATATACTTATAGAATTGAGAATTGAAATAGTTTTATTTTTCAATTGTCTTTACAAAATGAAAATAATTAACCTTGCCAGAGAGAGTTATAACCTTAGATTTATAACAATTACACAATTTTATGAACTGGAAATTAGCAGACAGAAGGTATCATTTAATCATTTCAATTACAAAGGAGTATCTCAAAAAAGTTGATTGTATGTAATCACCTTAGCAGCATTTTTAGCTTTCTATATCAAGGGGAGATAATCCTTAGACATAACCCATCATAACAATAGCAGCTGATAGAAAAAAGTGGATTTGGAAACTTTTTATCCATCCATCATTTTTATACGACCGCAAAAAATTTCTGCGGTCGTATATTGGTATGACGTTGGCGTCGTCGTCCGAAGACACATTGGTTTTCGCACAATAACTTTAGTTTAAGTGAATGGATCTCGATGAAATTTTACCATAAGGTTCAATACCACAAAAGGAAGGTTGGGATTGATTTTGGGGGTTATGGTACCAACAGTTAAGGAAAAAGGGGCCAAAAATAAACATTTTTGTAACTTCCAGACAATAACATGTGTGTTAGTGTATGGATCTCTCTGACATTGTACCACAAGGTTCCATATCACAAAGGGAATGCTGGGATTGATTTTTGGGGTAATTGCCTCAAAATTTTAGGAATTGGGGGCCAAAAAGTGGCCAAAAAACAAGCATTTTTACAGTTTCCAGAAAATAACTTGTGTTCAAGTCTATGGATCTCTCTGAAATTGTACTGCAAGGTACCATATCACAAAGGGAATGCTGGGATTGAGTTTGGGGTTGATGAATCATAAGGGGGTTCAAAAAATTGGGGGGGGGGGGGGGGATTTTTTTTTCCTTTTTTTTTTTTCTTTAAAATTTTCCATTTTAAGTTGGTTATTTTTTATTTATATATAAAAGCAAATAATAATGATATGGTTTGATTTCATCAAAAATTGAAATATTGGGGTTCTTTGATATGCTGAATTTAAACGTGTATTTAGATTCTTAATTTTTGGTCCTGTTTTCAAATTGGTCTACATTAAGGTCCAAAGGGTCCAAAATTAAACTTAGTTTGATTTTAACAAAAATTGAATTCTTGGGGTTCTTTGATATGCTGAATCTAACCGTGTATGTATTTAGATTTTGGATATTGGACCATAATAGGTAAATTAAAAAATTTTAAATTCTGATACCACATTCATTGTGTCAGAAACCTATGCTGTGTCAAATATTTAATCACAATCTAAATTCAGAGCTTTATCAAGCTTGAATGTTGTGTGCATACTTGCCCCAACTGTTCAGGGTTCGACCTCTGCGGTCGTATCAAGCTGCGCCCAGCAGAGCATTTTATTAAAGATGTGGATTAAGAGAGTTAATTTTATTCAACCATCAGAGCAGGTTGAGTTAGTTGGACCAACATAATTGATATTATCTACCCAATCACTTTAGCCAAGAGGTAAGGACTAGACCAAGGGCAAGGAGTTGATTGTATATATAAACCAATCACAGTGTAAATGGTAATAGGCCAAGAGATTTTATTCAATTTACCCAAAATATAAGTGAAAAAAGAAAGGATATTCAAAATGTATAAATGGAAACAACTAAAATGCCTAAACCATCTTGACAATAAAAAAGCAAATGAACAGCACTTATACATTAGTATTGCTGTTATTATTAAAGTCACTTTGAGGTCTGAAATGGGGAACATCTTTTAAACTCAAACCACATTGCAAGTTCAAGACAGCTCTTTATACAAGTTTCAACAGAATTCTTTGCCTAATATGTCGATCAAGCTATATCTATTTATCTGTGTACTGAAGAACTATGGGGAAAAGTTAACACATCTGTGGGATATAATAACAATTCATATATATCGGGCAAAGAATCTAAAAAAATCACCATAATTTGGGGACAATATAGCCACAGCATGCAGACATTTATAAGATATAATCACAGGGCACATATTTAGAGAAAAAAAAAAGATATGCTTTAACATTACCTATCACTGCAGCATGAAGTGGTGTTATATTTAATCTTCCTTTCATATTTACATCACAACCATTCTCTATCAGTAATTTCACAACTGGTGTAAATCCTCCTGAAAACAGAAATAAAGTCGTAAATTTTACATATGCTATTATGAATTGGTTAATCCCATCCTCAAGTGCGACTTTCTGAGTTAGACGTTTGTACTTACATGAGCAACACAACAGGTGCCATATGTGAAGCAGATTCTGCTTACCCTTCTGAAGCACCTGAGATAACCCCTGGTTTTTTTTCAATCTTTAGTTTTCTATGTTGTTTTGTCTTTTGGTCTTTTGTTTTTTTTGCCATAGCCTTGTCACTTTTATTTTCGACTAATGAGTTTGAATGTCCCTTTGGATATTTTGCCTCTCTTTTGTACTTTAAAACTACACCAAATAGTGGTATGATTTGTGAAATGAAGAAAACAAAATCTGAATAATTTATAATGGATGTGAATTGGCCTGGATAGTCTCCCTTTTATAGATTCAGCTTTGTGTTTTCTTAACAAATTGTCTATTTAATTGTATTGAAACATATTTTTAAGAGTGTTTGAATTGTTCTTTTTTATGTGATTCTGTATATTGCTGATCTACTTCATTTTTATTCCTCCTACCTTTAATGTATTTATGCATTATTTTAGTATGGGGTCGTAGCGACTTGGAGCTGGAACCACTGTATACCGTAAAGAAATTACCTCAGATTTTGTTTAAACCCTTTATGAAGATTTTCTAATTCCCAAAATTTTCCCTTGATAACCTTTTAACAATCATAAACACTGTCAAAAAATAAAATGACTGTCCCCTATCAGACTTATTGTGAATACACCTTATAGCTATTTGGAAATCTGTGCCAGTTGAACTATTAACGTCATTATACTGATACAACAGTTCCTTTTCCATTGTGGCGTCAGTTGTTTTCTATTGTGACATCAACACCTTTTGTGATGTCCAGTAATGGCAGACAAATACTGAAATATCGATAAGGTTTATACAATGTTAATGTATTGATGATTTTATGTTTGTGTTGGGGGTTGGGTGGGTTTCGGACGATAAGATACCAAGGTAGATAACAAGACTGATAATGGTAATAAAAGCTTAAAAGTTTTTGGCTTTATCAATATACCGGCACAAGCCTTTGATAGTGCACACGTCCCATCGCTGTCTTTCGAGTTTGAGTTTACTTTAAATTTAAGTAATTTCTTGACTGTTGAAAGATCACCACTTTCAGATGCCGCAATTAGACGACTTTCCATGTCTTTTCCTATGAAAATCTTCGACATAAGAACTCCACTCATTTTTGTTTATTTTAAAATACAAAATGTAATGTAAAAAAGCTTGTTGTCAGGTTATTGTTTACATCAATCATGTAATCTGTCCTCCAAACTGGAGAGTTCTTTAAATAGAATAGAGTCGTTTCCCTTTCCGCGGACAGTGGCTACATTAAATTTTGATATTTATTCTTAGCTTCAGATCCAGATTTCTTGTTTATATTTTTTCTATGTATTATTTATTACTCCTAATTCCCAATTTTGACTGATATTTTAGTAAATATGGAAAACCGCAAGGTGCCTAAAAACCTGAAAGGAATCACTGGCGTTGTTTCGTTTGCCACGGATGGTTCCTACCAGTCAGGACTGCCAAGTCTCCCACAGTCACGCAGCGTGAGACTCACGCATTTTCATGCTTATTTGGCGGCATTTTCCTTTGATCTATTGTTTTTTCTCTTTGATCTTTACGATTTTGGCCAAATCTCACGCATTTGCATTATTAAAAGGGGGTCTCATTGGGGGGTTCTGATCCCGGATCCCGCTTACTGTTTAGTCAGATTCCCGTATCCCGCTTACACTATGTACGTAAGCAATTCTCATTTTTTTTGTAATTTCCCGTGTCCCGGTAGACTTCATTTCCCGTTTTCACGGCACAATAATTTGACTTTCACGTGTCACGCTTACAAAAAATCGGCAATCCCGGGTCACGCTTAGACCCCAATGAGACCCACTTAAAAGTTGGCAGAACTGCTACCTGAGACTATGTTATATAGTAATCTCACCTGAGACTATTATAGTAATCTCACCCGATACTATGTTATATGGTAATCTCAGATGAGACTCTGTTATAGTAGTCTCAGTTCGTGTATAACGACGTCACAGTTCCTTAACTGCACCAGAGACATATAATACGTCTCTGACTCAGTGCACCTATTTTAATAGCAAAATTAGCGGTGGATATCTTACAAGATTTCTTAGGAACTAAACAATTTTTTTTATCATTTGACATTATGTAGGCCTACGTCTTTCAAATAGGTAAATATATTTTATATATTCACAAAACGTTCACAGTAAATACCAACAAATGAAGTATTTAACGCGGGAAAAAGTAAAACCTACGGAAACTTTGGCATGCGACGTCCATAAAAAGTCATCTTTTAAAAATGAACAAATAGAATATCATCATCAGGTTACGGCGACCATCCATTTCTTAAGAAATGAATAGTAAGCATGGACTAATGTCAAATTGTTCTAAATTATAAAGAAATAAAGCAAAACATTTTTTTACTCAGAAAATAAAAGTATTATGGCGCAGGGGCCAGTTGTTTGATTTTTTAAGGATGTGAATTTAAGCATGAATGCAATTTGGGTACTCATAACTACAGAATCATGGATCTTTTGGAGGTCGGTTCAAATCCTTTTTTCTATGATTCAATATAATGGCTTCAAATTTAAATTAGTGGACAAATAGCAGAGACATATCGTTGTATATAGTAACTATATAAGGATACACCTATAAAATAAACACAGAATGGAAACTTGTGTCTGGATCATAAAGAAACTGTCAAAATAGGTGCAATTTGGGTAACATTTCTGTAAGTATTTTTATTAGTGGCAAGGTTCGGGTGGTTCAGTTGTCTTGTCCTACTGTCAGATGGTAACAGCTGCTATAAGTAGTGTTATAATGATGATAAGAAAACAATAGAGCCGTAGAGCAGGGTAGAACACTAGGTCTTTGATATTTGGCCATGATTGAGCCGTAGAGCAGGGTAGAGCACTAGGTCTTTGGTATTTGGCCAAGGTAGAACCGTAGAGCACTAGATCTTTGGTCGATTTGGCCATGGTCAGTTAGTACGAGAAAGAGTTAGTTGGCAGTGATATGTCACTTGATTTATAACGCAAAACAAATTCACTAAACTTCTACAACCAACAAAATACATATCATATGTATTAAATATCCTGAGTACCGTGCATAACAGTACAAAAGTTGGAAAATGTGAATGGATTTCCTTAAATACTGGAATGTTAAAGAAAGATTTGATTGAATTATTGACTAGACAAAAAAGCAAGGATCTGTATAGTAAGACTGCGAATCCTTGAAAAAAGTTTTCATTTCAAACAAATACAACCGAGAGAAAAAAAAACATATAGATAACCAGAAAAAAATACTGACTTGCTTGTTGACTGTTGTACTTGAAAAAGGAATCTAAAAGAGTATAATGATGTTTATACGTTATAACAAGTTATAAGATCAGAGTCGTACAGGAAAAAAATCGTGCATAAAGGGGAACAAATTAAGCATGGTTTGATAAGCAATGTTGAAATAAGGGAAAGTTTCGCATATGAGCAAAGAGACGTGATTTTTTTCCAGAGCTAAAAAAATAAGCAATGTGACAAAGCAACACATGCTATGTACGATATAATCGGAACTTGAAAAAGAAAATGCCAACTTGATTTATTTGATAAAATTGTCAAACCAATACTTCTGTATGGGTGTGAAATAATTCAATAATCGAAAGGGTTCATATTAAATTTTGTAAGATATTACTTGGAGTAAAAAAGTCAACTCCTGATTTTATGATCTATGGTGAGTTGGGAAGATGTCCATTAGCAATTTCAATCAAACTACGATTGAACTATTGGTTTAAATTGGTAACTGGAAATCCTGACAAAATATTTTTAATTTTGTATAACTAAGCCACTGCCAATTATGGTACACATATTGTATGGTTGAAACAAGTGAAATCAATTTTAGACACGTGTTGCTTGTCATATGTATGGAACAACATCTTTTTTGTTGACAAAACATGGCTACATGTACCCATTAAACAGAACTTAATAGATAATTACAAACAAAATTGGCTAGCAATCCTACAGGAACCACCAAAGCATTTGATTATCGTTCATTTAAGGATACTTCTGAGAAATATTTTAGATTTTGGATGACAGACAGATATCTTTATTTTTAAAATTTCGAACTATGAAATGAAATTTCCAATCAAAAAACAACTGGAAGACGGCAACACTTAGAAAGAAAAAAAAACAGAAAGTGTGTATAGTGTAGTAATTTAGACATCTAAATAAATAAAGATCCCATTGGTGATGAATACCATTACATTTCTACCTGTTCAGCTTTTGATAGCTGCAGAAAACAATGTATAACAATGCATTATAGGAATAGACCTAACACGTTGAAGTTTCATGACTTAATGAATTCCAAAACCTGTTCAGAACTATAATAGCTGTATAAACTTATTAAGGAGCTCAATATCAAATTGAACTGTTCTGGTTGAACAATTATAAATGCCTTTATCTACTTTCGGTACATTATTTATTTATGTAATTGTATTGAAATATGTATAATTATTTCTATACCTTTGTAATTTGGTTTGTGAGAATAAAGATATATACCATCCCAAATTTGACAAGTTATTCATGACACATTATCCGCGAAAACTGGAAAGAAATCGGAAAACAACATAAATTATCCAAGATTATTCCAAAAGCCTTAAAGACTTGCTGGTGTGAGATGATTTATCCTCTTAATCAGGCCCCATTTGTGGGCTCTTGCAAGGGATGCCGAAACAAACGATGTCTGACTTGCAAGCAAATACTGAATACACAGACTTTTAACAGTCAATCCTCTGGTACGGAATACACAATAGTTTTCATGCAATGTTAATTGCAAAACTACAAAATGAATGCTGTGTATCTCCTATAGTGTAAATGTGGTAAACAGTATGTTGGCGAGTCAGAACAGCTATTTCATAAACGCATGAACGGCCATCGTAGCGACTATGAATTCAAGCCAGATCCCCTGGCCACAAAAAGGCAGATCTCAATCGACTGACCATACAGTCATAGACCACAACACTGCTTGGTTTAGGGAATATAGACTCGCTCGGGAAAGATTTTGGATATGAAAATAAAAAACTTTGGCACCAAATGGGACCAATGAAAAGGTGTAGTTCTATATATATTCTTCCTATTTCGACTCTTCAAAATTCAACAGTGTCCTAAATTGAGGTAAATTATATCCATGCCTTCCAAATACCGTTTCAATTCCTAACATCACTGAAGAGACATTAATTATCGAAATCCGGAAATGGTGTACTAATTTTTGCACCTTTTGTTTGCGGTATACTATCTTTTCCGCAAGTTTATTGTTTTCTGTTTGGTATTAAATTAATAATTAAGATCCATTTTTTTTTTAAATCTGGTGATCCGTTTATTTGGCAATCGCCAATGGCAGTCAGCAGGGTTTAAGAACATCCGTGGTTCGACCTGCTTGTCAAATGCGTTTTGTTAAAATATGCTTTTTCACTTTTTTGGTGTCTTGGGAAATGTTGTTTGTGCTGTATTAAGACCCCTCTACCAAGAAATTTGTTTTGCATGCACACGTATAAAAATTGCGGGTTTTATCAATCGCAATCAAAGGTTTGAACGTTGTTTTCAATTTAGACTTGTTTATATTTTTTCGTTTGGGCTTGTATTATATTTGCCTTCGGGCTTATGTGATCCGTTAATCCTGTTTCGACTCTTCAAAATTCAAGTCTATCCTAAATTGAGGTTAATTATATGGCCTTCCAAATACCGTTTCGTTTCCTAACACTAAGACCCCGTCCCCACTAGAGGCATTTTTTTTAATCGATCTAAATTGGATCGTTTTAAATAAAACCAATTATCTTTAATCATAACAATCTCTATCGGTCTAATCTGAACCAGCTGCGTTCACACTACAATTATAAATGTAATCGATCTGACCATGGAAGTAATATTACTTCCATGATCTGACCCAATAACCCGTAAAACTGTAAACATTGTTTATAAACAGAAATAATTAATCAAATTTATGTGTTGATACACTGATACACACACTAGAAAAAAAATGGATGAAGTTATTGTTTCTCTTGAATCACAAGTTCAAATTTTGTTACTGGTGTTCTTGCAGTTTTCTTTAATTTTGAAACAAAAAACTGTATAAGGAATTTACAGCATTAAGAAATACTGCGGTTGCTGAAAAGAAAAAAATCAACAGAAGAACAGAAGACACAGATTTCGCAAATTTGCTACGGCGAAGACAACTCCCCATTGCGAGTAGAAACAGGTCGCTATGAAAACAAAACTGTAAATGAAAGAGTTTGCTTTGTGTGCAATGATAAAATTGAAGATGATAAACATGTTGTATTAGACTGTCCTTTATATGCAGATTTGCGTGAAAGTTTATTTTACGAATTTAAAGAAGTAATGGTGATTTTAATATTTTATCTGATGATGATAAGTTTATATATCTTTTTAAAAGTACTGATTGTTTTGATATGGTTGCCAAGACCTGCTTTAATATTTTAAGTAGAAGAAATAGTTTTTTATATGCTTGATTGACAGTTATGTTTTTACAGAACTGAAATATTTTAAATTATAGACATGATATATGTAGTTATATGTTTTTTACAGACCGGAAATGTTTTGTAGACATGATAAATATATAGTAATAATTTATTTTGATTTCTATATTCTCTCATAATTCTATATAGAATGGCACTTGTAATTTAATTGATAAAATTACTGTTTTATTCAATGTATATATTATAATGATTGTATTACATGTATTACAAGTGGTGAGACTTTAATAAAATATTGAATCTGAATCAACAAAGAATGGCCGGAGTCTGAGGTCTAAATACAACAAAATTTTACATATTTAAACGATGGCTCTTATTCTAAACAAGGTAAGAATATATATTTTTAATATTTTATTATATAATTACTGCATGCTCCACTGTGATTAACTTAACTAAATGGTCTGTAAGTCTGTACCAATGAAAAAAGTTTAGCTTATACTTTAGTCAAGCATGAAGTTAGCCACAAATTTTCAGATGAAAATGCCTGTACTTTATTATTTGAAATTTGCTCCATACATTTGTAGCTAGAAATAATTTTGGATATTGTAGTATATATTCCTAGAACTTTGATCATAAAATAAATATTTCTAGAACTTTAATTATCTTATAACCATGATAAATATTCCTGGAACATTTATAATAAAGCCAATATTCCAATATGCCTGGAACTTTTATAATATAACAAATATTCCTAGAACTTTTATAATATAACATATATTTCTAGAACTTTTATAATATAACAAATATTCCTAGAACTTTTATAATATAACAAATATTCCTGGAACTGTTTATAATAAACAAATTTTCTTGGAACTTTTATAAAATAACAAATATTCCTGGAACTAATTTATTGTACATATAAAACATTGTCCATAATATTTATTCCAAAGAACTTTTAACATATAACAAAAGTTCCATTGGGGACTTTTCTTATGTAATATTTTATCCTTCTTATAGCATTGGATAAAATATTCATTTAAGGAAAGTTCCCAATGCTAAAAGTTCTTTGGAACAAATATGTCAAATATTATGGGGGAACTTATACATGTATTCTGTCAAACACTGACCTTTGAATTCTTCCAATCCAGGTTTTGTAACTAAAAAAAAAACAATAAAAGGACTATTCTTTTTGTATGGAACTTCATTTCATTATTATTAGCTATTAGACGGCAAGCTTTTTATAAAAGCTATTACTTGTTTATTTGTAATCGATCGTAAAAGCCCGGGAAGTTACGATTGTTTCGAGTACGACGCTTTTACCTCGCTTTTTAGTAGCATGGCATCCTTGCGAAGCAAGACATCTCGGCACATTACAAACTCGGCACATGTCAACTCGGCATAGTGCAAACTCGGCATAGTGCAAACTCGGCACATTACAAAATATGTAACATTGTCAATGATTTTATTATTGTTTCCTATTTAAATTATGTATTTTATTGATGGTATTATGACGATTTTATGATTATCTCCAATTAACTGCAATAAAAAGAATAGGATGGCTACCTTTATCCTTTTAATTAGAGAAGTTTCAGGAAACAGGTGTTGATTATATATTGCAGTATAATTATCACATGATAATTAATAACAGCGGTATTTAATGACAGCCTAATAACATTTTTATGATATCCCGTTAGTATAGCAGCTTGAGTTAATGCTACTGAACTCCATGCGACAAATGCATACCAATTAAAATGTCAAGTACCGCCTCTTTTTAAATCTATTGCGTAAAAAGTACATATATATCTGGTAACAAACTAAAAATATAATCATAGTCTTTTAATATTTTTAAATTGTTTCACGAATTGCTCTGTATATCCGCTTTAATATTTAATACTTTCGTCCAAAAATGGGCACAGACCATTGTGTCGAGTGTTCCCGTGTTGTCACTACCAGACAACAAGCACTGACCTGTGATAACTGTGAAAGATGGGTACACAGAGTTTGTAATACAGGTATGTATATATATTAATTACATTTTAATATATTGAATTTGTTTTTAATTTTTTTTGTCTCACTATTTCAACGAATTTTTATCTTACAATTTTGTTTATGATTTAGTTAGATGAATCATCATCTTAAAATGCTTATGAAAAAAATGCTACATACAGTTATCTTATTTATAATAAAATATTATTTTAAGAACTTGTTACTATTTATGCAACATATGGATAATTACTAGTAATAAATTGTTACGTTTTCTATCAATTTTGGGACATTTTGTCCGTTAACCTGAAATAATTGTCTTTAAAATGTATCACATATATATACTAGTATATATAGTTAACACATCTAATGTCATTCCGATGTTCTTCCTTTTATTGAAATTAATACTAAGAAGAGCGTAGTGTTCCGTAGTTCAATATATTAAAGTAAATACTGAGTAGGCAAACACATATTAAACTTTATATATAAGTACATCACTGAAGTGTCTCCTTACTTTGACTCTATAAAATTATCTCGCTCCAAGTCTTGTTATTTTCATTATTATTTGTTCTCGAATTTTCAACATAAAAAATGCACGTATATGATCACATTTTCAGGCATTACTCAAACAGACTATCGTCGTCTTATGAAAGGAAAGCTTGACATTGCATTTACTTGCAATCTATGCAAGAACACAACAGAAAATGCTCCTGTAGAATCCACCAGATTAGAGCAAGACAGTGAGCAACGTTCCACACTGACAGGATATGATACCTTCAATATCTCCTTGATTAGCAGAAAATCAAACTCTATAAATTCCACATTCACAGAAGTACCTTCAGCTACGAGCAATCCAACAAATCTTCCCCATGCATCGCCAGTTAATACACCACACAGAAGAATTAAAAGAGCTCGTTGTATACATCAGTTCAACATGGTTCGAAGGTCGATATTGGTGTCCAAGAACATGGTCAATCTTCCAACATTCCATTCGCACAAATAATGATGTTGAAGGTATACATATATTATGTTCTCTAAGAGCAATACTTATAAACCAAACGTCTATATATTATTCAACAATCTTTCTTACGTGAATCTTAACAACGCCAATATTAAATAAATAAACATTAGATTTAAATTTCTGTATGATGTACACATTTCTTGATTTATATTAGTTTAAATCACAGGGGGGGTTAGGGGGGTTTATAGAAATACGCAGCCACGGTGTATAAATGATTATACAAACCTTAAAAAATATTAATGTATGTATTTATGTTGTTTATAGGTTGGCACACACGCATAAATTCTGGAAAGTCAAATGTAAGCTTTTATGTCCTTATACCAGAGTTAATGAGAGAAGCTGAGATCGTTGATCTTACTCTAAGATTGGTATCTGAGGAACAGGTTCTCAGACATCAGCGACGCCGCTTCAAGGACTTGGAAGGCCGGCTCCACCAGTTCTGGGAAGAGTACGATAGTGGCGAAAAAATGAAAAATACAAACAGACAAACAATAGTACACATGACACAACATAGAAAACTAAAGAATAAGCAACACAAACCCCACCAAAAACTAGGGGTGATCTCAGGTGCTCCGGAAGTTAACATCCTCCTGGTAACTGAATGTTTTCATTAATATGTGCATTAGTTTTACGACATACGATCTAGATAAGGAAAAAACGAGTGCCACAATTTTGGATAGGACTGCATCACCTTAAATATGCATAGCATATATCAATGACCAGAAAAAAAAGAATGTAGGACAGAAAGTCAAAGAACAAAAAAAGTCACAGGACAAAAAGTCACAAATATTTTTTTTAAATTTGTTTGAATATATAAGAGAAAGATCTTGCAATGTTTTCTTTTTATTAATACATTAACATGTATCCATTTTAACAGTTTAGGTTTATTAGCCTTGATAAATGAACATTTATCAGATTTTAGGCATAAACAACTTTTTTATCATTATTGATATTTATTAAGTAAAATTTAATTAAAAAGTTGCTTTATTTATAAAAGTAAAACACATTTTTTTAATATTAAGTGTTTTCTTATTTATGTCAGAACTGACTAGTGACTTTTTGTCATATGACTTTCTGTCCTATAATATGTTCAATTTCTCACCTATGGTTAAAAAAATATTGTTATTTTTTTCTCATCGTAATTATTATATAAAATTGCTTTTTATGAATCATCTCCATAAATATATTTATTAATGTGCCGAGTATGTATTGGTAATGTGCCGAGTTTGTATAGACCGAGTTTGTACTATGCCGAGTTTAACATGTCCCGAGTTTGTAGTGTGCCGAGATGTCCTGTATTCCCTGACCCAATACTTCGTCGATATCTACTGTCAAGCAGTGAGCCAGGATCCCAGGCTAGACGCTTTAGTTATAATTTGAAATATTAAAGTCATCTATGACTTTTCTACAACGAGCTTGGATGTTACATAATAAGTAATTTTTCATGGTGAATTCTGGTTATATTTGAAAGATGTCAAAGATTAAAAGAGAAAACGTTGAACCGATAAATGAGCAAGGAAGTCCTGCAACAAAGAAAGTGAAAGTAGAAACAGTTGAAACTGAAACAGCTTCAGGAAGTAATTGTGAAGATGTGAATGGAGCTACCAGAATTAAATCAAAGGAAGGACATGTCTTATATAAGTATAAATAACACTTTGTTTTACTTATTATCTTCTCTTTTTTTGAATGAAGGCTTTGCTAATCCTGATAATGCAGACTAATTTAGTTGGGTGATTTAATTATAATTTATGACTCTTGAAAGGCTAATATAATTTTTTTCTGTGACGCCTTCCCACAACCATCAGGGGCGGATCCAGGATTTTGGAAAGGGGGGGCGAAGTTTGTAAAAATCGGCGAGCGGAGCGAGGCGAAAATATTTTTGGACCTTTTTTTGGCTAAAAAACATAAAATAAGTGTAAAATGCACTTTTGTATCGGTTCCTGACGTAAGGCATGTATATTTTATAGTTGAAGTGTAAGGGTTGGACATTTTTGATGCCGTATTCTCCCCATTAATTGTCTATTATAAAATGATTGGATGGATTCAAAGCTATGTTCTAATATATTTGATGTGGGACTTGTCAGTAAAAAATTGACATGGCAAATTCTCGTTTGTTGTATGTTTAGTTAGCTTAACGTCACGGATTTCTTGTTGTAAACAAGATATACGCCAGGCTATTCAATGAAATTAACAATACGACCGACACGAGTTAAGAAAGACAAACAAGCAATTTTTATCCAAATGTTTGGTTGAAATGTTTCACCCAACAAGGGAAGTGAGGGGTTTCAAATCAACCAAAGGCTACGAATGAGTCTGAAATGACAACGAATATATGAATGACGGTCGACAAATGGAGACATAAAGGCCACACCCAGCAGGCAGGTTGCAGTCGGGCCTTGAAAAAGTATACATTTTATCAGTTCGACGAAACAGACATTCCGGTCAGATATGGGATTTACTTGCAAACCCCCGGCCCCAAAAAAAATTACGCCCGTTTTTTTATTCGTCATGTTCATTTAATGCTAAATAATTATGTTGGAAATTTATGTTTCTAATAGCAAAAAAGTGGACAAGATTATTGTTTTCAATCCAGATACGGCCAGAATTTTTGTTTAAGGCAAAAACCAGGGTCAGAATTTTTTCTCTCAAACATCTCAGACTGCCCCCTCAAATCAAATGGTTTGTACCTTAGACTTTAAATCTATCTAGAGCTTACTGACTGGGGATCATTATTCAGCTATGTTATTAATAGGCTGGGGCGTGTTGGGTTAAACATGTTTTCACAGGTAAATAATATTGCTGTGGAACTTTTTTTTCATGAAAATGTAATAGAGTATTACTTTCTGTTCGGTGGAATTGTGAAATAGAAGTCAATAAATACGTTCTTGCTCAATCCTTTGTCGCTTTGAAGGTGTCATGCTTGTCATCCCCAGCCTAAGCAATGAGTTCCTGTAATTTGAATTTCAAAATGACTGAGTGAAGTTTTTTCGACGTACTGGTCAACTCCACCGTAGCGAATCACATGATTTTGACATAATCAATAATATATATTACAGTAAATACGAGCGAAACATATCTTTATAAGTAAAGAATTGCCGCATAAAAATTAAATACGCGTGAAAAGTTCACGAAGTCTAGTCTGATTAATCATTTTACAAAAAAAAAAAAAAAAAGTGCAAGCAAAGGGGGGGCGTACGCCCTCTACGCCCCCCTCTGGATCCGCCACTGACCATGACAACATAAAGTTTATTATGAAATCCCCCTTTTTCTATTCTATTCTTTGGTAAATTGTTTGAAGAATTTTGTAGGACAAATGTAGCTAGGTTTGTTTGTTATTCTGTAAAAACTTATTTGCTAAATGCTGTATATAATTATTAACAACTAAACAAAATAAAACATAGTAATCTAGTACAAGATACAAAGTTTCATGAAATTCCATCAAGTTATAATATGGAGGCTATTACAGCACACACAACTATAGAATTTATTAAAAAGAAACATCAAAGTCCAAAGAGTCTAATGTAGAGTTTGTGCAAAATGGAATTAAACAGATAGGTAAATTACAGGTAGCTGAATTCCTGACAGTATGCACATGTTGACATTTTGATACTTTTCAAAGTTTCATTTTAAGAGAATCCATATTTTTTCAGACAGTAACAGCAAAAAATGATTTTCATTAACTTGACAAAATGAACTAGATTTAGCTACATGGAGAGTTGTCTCATTGGCACTCATACCACATCTTCTTATATCTATAGATTTAGCTACCTGTAATTTACCTATCCGTTTAATTAGTATAATTGTTTTGATAAGCATGCACTTTTGTGTTCTTTTTTTTTGTGATAAATACTTACACCTATTCCTCGAACGCCAACATAATTTTACAGGTAAATTGTTGGTAGATCAACAATGATCAAAGGATGTTGGCATTCGGATTAATCAGACTATGTCCCTGTGTGTACATGTAAGTGTCAAAAATTTTCAGTTCTTTGACAATATTCATTTTGTGTCAAAAACCTATGCTGTGTCAAATATTCAATCACAATCCAAATTCAGAGCTGTTTTAAGGTTAAATGTTGTGTACATACTTGCCCTAACTGTTCAGGGTTCGACCTTTGCAGTCATATCAAGCAGCGCCCAGGAGCATTTTATTCTCATTGTTGAAGACCCTACTGTTGCCTATAATTTCTTTCATCCTCTTCATTGAACTTTGAAGGATAAGTTGTCTCATTGGTAATCATACATGTACCACATCTCCTTGATTTTATTTAAATGCCTCACCATACATGTATGTATACATGTATAGTGATAAGGAGTCCATTCCTTCATCTGTCTGTTCATCCTTCTTTCACACTTTGTATAAGCACCTCCTCCTGAACTACTTGACAGAACTACATGTATTTAAAACTTTCTCAGATTCTTTAATCACATAAACATGATAATGTTCTTTGCATCGGCACTAAACACATTTATTTAAAAACCAGTTGTTGGCATGACACGGGTTATGTTCTTCTCATATATGTTATGATGGTATGATACTAAACCCCTAACGGGAAGGATTGTGCCTGATATTCATATGATGAAGACGTAATCTTTCAATCAGTTTAATTGAAGTCTGGAGCTGGCATGTCAGTTAACTGCTAGTAGTCTGTTGTTATTTATGTATTATTGTCATTTTGTTTATTTTCTTTGGTTACATCTTCTGACATCAGACTCGGACTTCTCTTGAACTGAATTTTAATGTGCGTATTGTTATGCGTTTACTTTTCTACATTGGCTAGAGGTATAGGGGGAGGGTTGAGATCTCATAAACATGTTTAACCCCGCCGCATTTTTGCGCCTGTCCCAAGTCAGGAGCCTCTAGCCTTTGTTAGTCTTGTATTATTTTTAATTTTAGTTTCTTGTGTACAATTTGGAGTTTAGTATGGCGTTCATTATCACTGAACTAGTATATATATTTGTTTAGGGGCCAGCTGAAGGACGCCTCCGGGCGCGGGAATTTCTCGCTGCATTGAAGACCTGTTGGTGGCCTTCTGCTGTTGTCTGTTCTGTGGTCCGGTTGTTGTCTCTTTGACACATTCCCCATTTCCATTCTCAATTTTATTTTTTACAGAGTTTGTCTTTAGTGCCGTGTGGAGACAGTAGAGTGCCTCCCCGTGCTTCAGGTTTATGCTCTTATAATATACTAGATTATGGAGTGTGTGTCCGAGCGAGAACTTCTCTAGTTCATTTCTTTAGGAATATTTATCAAAAAGTAGTATTTCAATATTCAGCCCCATTCTACTATTTAGTCAGACGTCAGTCGCTACCCTAATATACCCTTTCTTTTTCGGGTAATTAATACGGATAGCGTTTGACATCTTTAGCCGAACAGATTTATCATTTTTACATAATTTAATTCATTGTATGCTGGTTCATATTCTGGACGCCAGTCTTTGCTCCTTTCTAATATAATTCACAAACAAAAAACAAATATGAAGCTTAGAAATGGAAAAATATTAAATACTAAACTCGTTCAAAGGGTATCTACACGTCTCAATCTTCAAAATCGCTTATCTAAAAATACTACCATCGCTAACATTTTTAACAATAAAAATCGTGGTTACCCTTCTATCGATAAGTGTCATGCCAAAAAATGACTTACATGTCCCCGTCTTTCCACCAACAATACGGTAAGGTCCACGTTTAATGGTCGCACATTTTCTTTAAATTTTGAAACTGATATAACTTGAAAAACAAACAGTATAATTTATTTACTCACATGAAACAAACCGGGATGCGGTATTCAGTACGTAGGTGAAACTGGACGATATTTATCTAAACGCACTCAAGAACATCTGTATCGTTTTAAAAGACCCAATAAATTCAAAAGTATCATTTATCAACACCTTAAGAAGCACAATCATCCTATTAAATATTTAGCAGTTCAACCTTTAGAAGTAGTAAATAAGCAGCCTGGTGAATCTCATTCAAAGTTTGTACGATCGCGGAAAATAATTGAATTAAATTGGATTAAAAAATTACAGACAGTCTACCCTCTCGGTCTTATGATAATATCATGGGAATTGGTAATATGTCAAGAACCGATTCTGTTAACATTTTGGATATAGTTTCTAAAACTGTTCGTAAAAACCGTTCTCATGGTTGTAGAAAAAATCGCAATCAAAGAAAATTTCGGACCAATCCTACCAATATTTCGGACCTAATTTCTATTTCAAAAAACAACGGCAGACATTATCTGTTAACAAAGCTCTGTTCATTACCGGTTAATAAGTTAAATAAAATTTTAGAGGATTGCAACACAATTTCATATAGCAGTCCTAAGTATGAAATCGTTCAAATTATAATGGCATATTGTTATTCTAAACTGTTTCCCAAAATTGATCGCCCTGAAGATCATAAAAAACAGTTTATTAAAATAAAGTATGTCAATAAAGGTTTTGATTTTGTAAATATTGCCGGTATTTTTAACGACCATTCTGTTAAAGAACAAATTCCGGGATATTTTGATAATACTGAGCTCCCTCTTATTTGTTATATTTACAAGAAATCTATCTGGAAATTTGTGTTTAATTATAGCCAATTGTGTAAAGATGTTAATATCAGTGAAAATACACCTACTTCATGTAATTGCAGTAATT